CTTTTTCGTCAATTTCAAACAATATATGTTGTTAATTGATAGATTTTTTGGAGTGGACTATTTTTTTATTAATTATTGTGATTTATTGTTTCTTTTTCGTCAATTTCAAACAATATATGTTGTTAATTGATAGATTTTTTGGAGTGGACTATTTTTTTATTAATTATTGTGATTTATTGTTTCTTTTTCGTCAATTTCAAACAATATATGTTTATCATATAATCCATTTTATGTGGTACCAAGAGAATTTAGAGTTAATTAAATTTTTTATATAAGTTTTAAATAATTAAGCTGTTAATTATTATAATGTATAGTATTACTTATATTATTTGTAAATATATTTAAATATTATATGTTAGGTTTTTTATCCTAATTTATATGGCATTGATAGAATTTAAAGTGTCAAATAATTGTTAATTATTGTAATAGATAATATGGAGTATTTAAGTCATTTATAGTATAGTAATTAATATATAATATGTAGTATTTAAGTGTTATATTATGGAATTTGAGAAGTTATTGAAATTTTTATATGATTTTAAAAATATTTTAAATTCATAACTATATATTTCAATGTACAAGATTTTGATAAAATAAAATCTTTAAAGTTAAATTATAATGTTTTTGAAATTTAAATTATTAAAACATATATAATGATTTTATAGAAAAAAATAATAGCATATAAAATTAAATGACAAGGATAATAAATTCAACTTTTAGCATGATAAGATTGAAGAATATTATTTAAGTGGAAGGAGGTGGGCCCCACTTATATATGTACAAGTACTTTAATGCAATGGAAGGATCAACATTGTACAAGTACTTTAATGCAATGTTGGTCCTTTCCAACTCTCACTTCTAAATAAGAAAAGAAAAGAAAACTTTTAGAAACATCTAGATAAAATTTAAATTTAAAAAATAAAGTGTATTTGAATACAAATATTCGATGAAACATGGGTAAAATGAGCCAATGAAGAGAGATAATATAAAGAGTCATATCTTTGAATGTACATAATATTTTTCATGATTATAATATTGAATTTAAGGTTTTATTTTCTGCAGGTTAAGGACATGAGTGGCCCTATATATAAAATCTATAACCGGCCTATATTCGTATCTGGGGCATGCACATAATAATCAACTTGTTATTAGCTTTAAATTAAAGTTGAAAATTGCATGGTAGGAACTTCTTGTTGGCCCATATCTCTTCAGTATCAGCAATCAACAGCCTTTTGATAAGGGTCGGAGTCAGAATTTTTTCTAAGATCATAATTTAGTATATAAAAAAGTAAATACGTGAAGAGGTCAAAAAGAGATTCAACATATATATATATATATAACAATGTAATATACGTTAAAAGGGTTCAAATGAACCTTTTTTGCCATGGTATGATCCCTCCTTCATTCCAGAATGAAAAGCGTGATCTAATAGTTGTTGATCTGAGTTTGCCCTGTCTTAAATAGTATTATATCCTAATTAATTATGTACTTCCTTCTGGTTTTTTACTTGTTTCTTGTTAACTTGAGACTCCTCTTAAAAAATAACTATAAAGACCTGTTTTGCTAAAATATTCTTGTTAATTACACTTTAAGAAATTAAGTTTGATTACTAGTAGTATATTATGTAGTTACTTAACAATAAAAGTATATTGAAAAAAAATTCTTTTTAATTCGTTAAAATAGACAAATAAAAAAAAGAAATCAATGTCACCAACTTATCTGACATTTCAAAATATTTTATTGCGCTATTTTAAACACAATATTTCTCTCCTATTGAAATAATATATTATTACTACTATTTAGAGAATAAGAAAAAAAAAATAACAAAGTGTCAAAAACACACCTAAATTGCGAGGTGTGTTTCTCAAATTAATTATAAGTGATAGTTTAGGTATGAAACTCACACTCTCAATAGTATATGTATGAAACTAAAAAAAAGACGATATTTTAAGTGTGTTTTTGACACTTATCTCTTAATATAAATGAGTAATAAATTAAATTAAAGTTATAAAATTTATATCCGGTCAAGAAGACGGAAAGAATACATGCAAGGACATATTGAATTAGGAATTTAGTCTATTTCTGTTGAATGAAAAATTGCAATCAATTCCAATCTTGATTAAACTTTTGTGATCTAATTTGTCTTTCCCCTTCTGTTTTGGGAATTTTTCCCTTTTCTTTTAAGTGGATTTCTTCATTTATACACATATCCATTTTATTTCTTTATTATCTCCCTTTCTTACTTTAATAAAGGATCGAGATTAGAATTTTGTGGTTCCCATCAAAGTACAACTACTATCGCACGAGTTGCAAGAAGCTCTGGTAGTATAATATATAAACGTGTCATTTAACTTAAATTTTAGTTGATATTTATGTATGTACTTCAATTTTAAGTATACATAAATAGATACGTAAACTTGTATAAAATTGAATATAGACACACACGTCCTAGCTGCTTGTTAAATATAACTGATTTTTTGTTATTTTTTTCTTTCTAAAGTGGTACTGCATACTTAATTAGAAATGTTGAGAATAGGTTTAGATCAAGAGGTCAAAGAAAGGCTATCTTGTTAACCAAAAACAAAGATTGCAGACCAAAAGACGGAAAAAGGTATTTATGAATCATTTTTCATACATTTGAATATTTATTGCCCTTTTCCGTTCAATATAAACAAAATTTATATTTCATCAACTGTAAGTATTAGGTATCATAATATGTAACTTTAACCAAACATGAAATTAACTCGAGTTTTGCAATAACCTTCTTCTGTTATTTATAATCTCTTTTAGTTACAAGTCTCTACACATACTTCCTTTTAGAGATTAGTATGAATTGAAGAGTAAAGACTTGTAATTAAAAATTTTTTTATACAACAATAGATAAATTAATATATACTCAATTCCTAGTATATATTATGATTAGTATGAATCTATCATCGAATAATAATATTCATACTAATCACAATATATGCATCGTATACACTTGACTTTTTAGGAGATTAATACTATAGTAAATAGCTGGTTATATTGTGTTCGTAATATATAGGGATAAGGGTCTGAAAAATACCTCAACTTTGGCCGAAATTGTTGTTACGATACCAAACTTTAATGAGGACCTATTACCCCCATACTATTTAATACCGTATTTTAAACATATATATTTGCCCATGTGGACATAAAAAAAATGCATAATTATAATAGTAATGTGTCCACGTGGGCACATATATACCTTTAAAATACACTATTAAATAGTTCATAGGGTAAAAAATACACTATTAAATAGTCCAGGGGGTATTAGGTCCTCAATAAAGTTTGGTATCGTAACAACAATTTCGGCCAAAATTGGAGTATTTTTCAAACTCTTATCCCTAATATATATAAGACAATACTTTAAATTGAGATATAACTTATCATCCGTATTAATTGTACCGAAAATACATGATATATTAATTTATAAATATAATTATCAAAAATTGTATTGGGATTATTATTCATTTTAATTTTTAGCCCCTCCAACCAAAAAACTCCCAAGTCCATTGACAAGTCTAGTCAAATTACAAGTGCAATAAACTCAGTTGGCGAGATGTTCACACCTTTATCCTAATGATAAAAGTTGGAGGTTCGAATCTCACTATATTCCACTCCACAAATTCGCAAAAAAAGAAGAGAAGGTGTGATAAAATTGGGACTGTGGAGTTTAGCTACATTCAGTACACAGTTTTGTAATCTAAAACAACAGGCTATATGGGTCAAGTTTGGGATTGGACCGTTCTACTTTAACACAAACACAAACTAAGCTATATCGGCCCGTTTTGATTTCTCCTTTGAAAAATTTGTAGCATACGTAACAACAAATGTTTGTATTCAAAAAGAAACCCATCTTCTCTTCTCTCCTTTTTTAAAATTCTTTTTCGCAAAAGCTTAATAGCTTAGTTGGTTGATTAATTAAATTTTCATTACTTGATAAGAGTTTAATTTCTTATCTTGTAATCCTCTTTTCCAACCCCCAATTTAGAAAATGAAAGTTGCTTAACATTAAAATTTTGATGCTTCTGACTCTCTTGTTGTCCCCCTCTAGAACCTAACATCCATTACAAGTACATAAATATAGTAAAAGTTCCATTTTTAGAATAGTATCTGGAAGTTTAAATTTATAAAAGCAAAATCTTAAGACACTATTTTAAAGTACAAAATTATGTAAGTGAAATTCCATGATATTGACCTAGAGTTCTAGAAGAATATACAATTTAAAACTCCTTAAATTCTTTCTGAAATTTAAATTGATAAAAGTTTCAAATTAATTCCCTGAATGAGCATCTTTTATTGATTTTCCCCCCTATTATATCTAAGATACTCTTATCTAAATTTTACTTGGAAAAATATATGATTAAGCAAACATATACTAGTTAATTAGTCATCATAGCTATAGTTTTAATTAATTATCAACTTGCGACCAACATTCAGTGATAATTACATGAGTTGGGGTTTTGAGTTTATATAATTCAAACTTTGTATAATATAATTTGTATAATGTAATTTTGTATAATATAATTTGTATAACTGTTTAAAGTTCAGATGTTTGTATTTGTATAAATTCGTTATTTCGAGTTTATAAAAATAGCTCAATTATACAAATGTACCCGTGAATTACACAAACTCACCTTCGAATTATACAAAAAAGACGGCTTAAACTGTGGTTACAACCCATAAATATGCAAACTATAGCTATGGATAATTACGTTTATTATAGTGGCTTATTGTGAAAATTCTCCATTTTAATTTTACATCAAAAAGGTTAAAGTTTGACTAAGTCGAGCAAATCTTTTAGGCCCAATTGGTGAAAAGGACAAAAAGTATTTTAGGCCCAACTATGCGGTGGTCCAATATTTTTTCTTGTTTGGTCTTTTTCTGGTCGGCTGTTATGAGTTATAAGTAAAGACAACGCGCAAACAGACACAATGGCACAATGAACAAGCGACGCGTGTGATCACGCTCCACATGTCCCCTGTTTTTTCTTCTCTTCCTTTTTCACCTTTTCAATTTTCCTCAATTCTCCGCCACATTCCCTTGCAAATTGAAGAAAATTTCAGGGTTTAATGGGTAATCAAGGCGAAGAAGTACTGATGGCAGCTTATAAAAGTTCAAACTTCACAGGGGGTTGTTTGGAAATCCGTTTGTTCTACGTACGCATAGCGTCCTGCGCGGTTGACGTAGTTTCGGATCATCTTATACTCCGTCACCTGCGCCGTGAAATGGGTGTTTCGTTAGAGATTAATGGGTGTCGAATTCCAGCATCCATCACCGTTTCTATCACGCTACGCCGTGACAGGGTTGATAAGGGATCATCAGAGATAACGTATGTTAGCACTGACAATGTTAGAGTTTCTGGGCCGGTGGAATTTGAGGTACACGAAGAGAAAGAAGAGTTGATACTTTGTGGGTCACTGGAAAGAGTGGAGGGTACTTGAGATAATGGTAATGGGACTGGATGGAGTATGGATTGTTACAATGCGGTGTCTTTTGGGAGTGATGGATCAGTGTTTTTTCAATCAAAGATTGGGGTTTCGTTGCCATCGATTAAGGTTTACGTCGCGGGTTGTTGTTCTGGTGTGCCTTTGATCTGACTAAAACGATTCAGGTTAGCCCCAGGAGGAAGTTGTCTTGGCATAATATGTTGGACTCAATTCATGAGGATAAGGGGGTTGGGAAGGAGCACCAATATGTCAATGGATTCATTCCACAACAAAAACTGCTGGTCATGCTCATTTCCAGCTTTTTCACTGTCTGTGCCAAAATTTTATACTGTGTCAAACCTCTGAGATGATAGCACACTACAACCTTTAGTTGGATTTTCAGCCTAATCATTGATCAACTGTAATCCCATAGAGTTGATCTTTAAGCAAATGAACAACATGTTTTTTCATTCTTAATTTCGAATATGGCTCAGTGATGAAATCGGAAGTTGGACCAAAGACTTGGGGGATTAGAGTTCTAATCATAGCATATGCATATAAGTATGGTGTCTAAGCCTTGCTAGACAAAATTATATGTACCTGTATACTGTATTGGTGGGAGGACACTAGTATCCGGCTGGTAGATAGTGGAATAGTTGAGGTGCACACAAGTTGGCCAAACACGACCTTTATCAAAATAAATAAGTGAAGAAATAAAAGATAAGGTTTATTTAGAAAGTTATTTTCTAGGGACCAGGTTCGCACCCTTTTAGAAAGTTTATAAGGTGTGGTGAAGCTACTTTCCTTGCTTTGATTCTTATAGTAAATGTATTGACTAACCTAGACCCTGTCTAGTCCTTGATAAAAGTTACGATGAAGTACTTTCTTCTGCATGAAAAAAGAAAGAAGAATAAGATTCCCGTCAGGAATGATATTATAAACTTTATCTTCGTGGAAGTTAAGGTAGTGCTAGCTTGCCCATGAGGCTCTGTAAGAGTTTATCCATTTAGCATTAGTTAGATAGCCTTCTCTGAGCAATCAACTATTCAGAGTTGTTATCTATTCACCTGTCTTTACACCAAAGCTGATGCAGCAAGAGTCCAAGTACTTGCATAAATAGCTTTAATTAGTCGACACTGAGAAAAGATATGTAGGAAACCCTGACCCTTGAGGGAACTAACTTCACATGAGAGGAGAAAATTGAATAAATTAAAGATGACCTAGACTCTTGAATCTACTTCTGAACTCCAATCTTAAGAACATAATGTTTACTTTTCATATTCCCATTTTTGTATATTAGTCCCAACTCCTTATTTTTATCTTTCGTCCTTCAAGAGTCAGCCATATCATGACATTCTTGTGAACACCAATCTCAAGAGATGGAATGTTTCTCTTTAATAACCGATATTTTTATTTCTTTTGCCCATCTCCATCCCTTCCAGCTTCATCAAGAGGGTGGCACATTACCCTTTTGATATCATTGACAGTCAATATGTCTTTTCATCTTGCCAACCAAAATATATTTATAGAAGTGTTATGTAAAATAACCACATTAAAAAGTTTAATCTACTTATTTCAATCGAATTTATTGATAACCCTATGTCTTCAAGTTTCATGGTTATGAAAAAAACTTTTTATAAATTTTTTACCTTTTTGAGATGGTGGGGATTCATATAGCTGCTTGACCTCATTAAAAGAATGATTCTTATAGCTGCTTGGATTGAGATGTTGACGTTGATGTGGTTGTTGTTGTTCTCAATCATCCACCATATTGATGGAAGGTGGTCACAAATAACCACTAAACTCTACGGTTTCTTTCCCTTGCGACTAGCAAATATGTAGTCTTCTTGTTTTGATTCAAAAACTTTTCTATGCTTTAGTTCCTCTGTTGTTTTCTCATCTTTTTTCTTCTTCCATGTTTACATCAATTGTAAATCTTCCAATTGATAAGTTGTTGAAAATAATTGTTACATACTGATCAATAGATAGTAAAAGGAAATTCGCTTAAATGCATTGTGTGTTTTGACAGATCAGAGACTCAGAGTTGGATTATTATGAGTTAGAAGGAAAAGTTAGACATGGCTTTTACTCAGAAGACAGGTATTATGGTGAGGATGGTCAACTCTCCTGGTTCAATGCTTGAGTAAGGGTTGGGGTGGGGCTACTTATGCGCTCTTATCAAGCAACCATTACAAACCTGCGGATGAGGTTCTTTTAAGCTTGAGAAGTTCAGTGCGAGTAAACTGTGGTCGTTATTGACTTGATTTGAAGATGAAAATCAAGACCGTTAATGGTGGTTGTGATGTCCAGCACTCAACGGTAAGTAGGCAATAGAAGATGACATAGTGGAGCCACTGAGGTGTGATATGATATCAATATATGGAGTGAATATTAATTCTTGATATACTAAAGTTGCAAAAGACCCTCCATGTTGGAGGTCTCAAGTTCGAAACCTCTTGACAGCGGAAGCAAGGGGTTTTGCCTTCTAGGTCGAGCTCGTCATACCAGGCTTGCCTAGTGCGGGTTACCTCTCTTATGTGGTTTGCGAGCTATTGCATAGGAGTTGGGTTTTTACCCTGTGCGCACCCAAATGGTAGCGGCTGTGGGTTTTCCTTATCATAAAAAAAAAGACCCTCCATCAAAGACTTCTACCGGAATGTTGACTGAAATACTGATGTGGATATAGTTGTATTTGAAACCGTTGGGAACAATGTGTTTATAGGTATAGCAACGTGCTGTGTTGGGGAAGATGAGTTGTATTTAGATGTAAGTTTTTCATACATCATCTTTTCGAGTAAAGTTTTTCTGGGTAGCTAGCGCCGGATGCTGCTAACATCTTTTTTGGTGTTACTTTTTGTGAGTTTACATTGGTCGTTCAATTTTGGTCATGGCAACAAGCTGCCATTGTGTAATAAGTGTCGTTTGTATAGTTCTGAGTTCTGACTGAAGCGGATACTGTACAAATTACTAATACAAGGAATAGTTTCTTCTGTAAATTCTTGAATTTTTGGTACAGTGCTCTGAAGTATTTTCCCCCCTTCTCGGTACCTCTATTGGAGCTTGACTAATTTGAATTCGCATTGGATAGGGGCCATTAGGCGGTAGCGCTCCCTACCAAAGATTTTTTTTATATTTAGAGCTCACAAAATCGAGATCTCTAATTAAGAGAGAAGTAACTCCATTCGTTACCCCAAGTCATTTGGTTGTATCATTGATGTTGACATACAAATTGTAAATTTTATCATGGTACCTTTCAACAAAAGATAATATCAAAAGTATTCATTTTTTGTCTATCAAAAATTTACATCAAGTCAAACAATATTATATAAACTGAGATAGATGGAACGCGATAATTATTAATTATATTTAGTAACTTTATATTTGAAATTATAATAATGGTGTGGTTTTTTTATTACAAAATTAAATTAAATAATATATAAAGATTATTACTATGAATTGAGTGGGTGTTTGAAAAATTAACTCAACTAACATCGTACTATCGTTAAATTGAAACTTTATCATACCTTATTATCATGGAATAGTTGATCCGCTTGCATATACAAATGACTTGTATTTATTACTACTACTAATAATAAGGATTTTAGAAATTCTACCAACCCATTTATTTATAGATAAGAGAAATTGTACCATTCATTGAAAATTGTGGACTGCTATCTTGAAAGGAAAAAATACATAGATTATAATTAGAAGTGAAAAAGGTCTAATATATTCATAACTTTACTATTGATATAGTGTCATTACAAAATGATCCAGATATATATAAAATGAAACAAAGGGTGTATTTTTTTTGTCTCGTTTTACTTGTTCAATTTGGATTTTTTATTTGGTCCTTTTTACTTATCACTTTTCTGAAATAAAAGGAAGTTCTCCTCTTCCTCTTTTTACTTGTTCAATTTTGAGTTTTTGCTCATCCCTTTTTACTTTTCATTTTTGACAAATTAAGACTCGCCTTATCCCTCAAGATTCACCCAGCTGTAACAACGCAAAATGTGAAAATGGGCACAAACAGGAAGTTACTGATGGAGTACGCGTAGCATGGACGTGCATACATTATAAAAAAAAAGGCAGGAATATTGTATTTTTTTTTTTTGGGATTATTTGATCTATTAAGACTGATCCCCAAGCACGTGAATACGCGCTCTCTCTCTCTGTCTCTCTCGTTCTCCATCCATTGATTGCTAGCACGAAGGGCGGATCCATAATTTGATTGGGTAAGTTTCTGCTCTTTTCTCTTCATATCCCTTTGTTAATGGATTCTCCATCTCTGTTTTTCGCACAAATCATACCTGTTGCTTTTCTATATTTTCTGTCGGATCCTAATTCCGATTCAATTTCATCGCCGATAGAGAACCGCCGGCAATCAATTAGGTTTCAGTTACAAATCGTGTATAACCCGTTCCATTCGATTTCAGCCCCAAATCTAATGCTGATGCAGCTTTCTGTAAGATGATGTACTGTACTGTAGTTCCTTTTGAAAGAAATAATGAAGCTATAAAGGACGATTTCTCAGATTAAGATAAAGTCTTTGACTGATTGATTATTATTATTGTTATCATCATTTGTACCGGCTTAACTTGAATTTCTGTAAGAGGTTGTTTACAATTAATTCATATATATACTGCCTAGATCTAAATTAGTCTGTTCGAAGGGCTTTTTGTGTTAATGTTTGCTACTGTGTGTGGACAATTTGATCATTAATTTCTTTAGTAAGTCTTTGAATATTTTGTCTTAGATTATAACTGATTCTCTACTCTACAGTGAACTGGTTATAATCATAGAGAAACAGCTGGAATATATGTGGTAGTATGCGTTTATAAACATGGAATATTCTAGGCTAAATGCATGGTACTTTTCGATTGCTAGTTGTGGTTTGTTGCTTCTTAGTGAGCTAGAGAACTGTTGAAGAGTGCTTATTATCGTTCTTGCATATAGTGATGCATGTTTGACAGTTAGCTCAAGTGTATGATCAAAGCTAATTCAGCCAGTTGATTGATGTTTTTTTTTCTGTTCTTTTTTTCATTTAGAGTGCGCTACATATGAATAATGTCCTAAGCTGTTTTAGGTGTGCTTTTTGATCTATACCATGACATTGCACCTTTTGATAGATGAGGGAAGTGTGAGAAGCTATGAATGTCATGCAGGAATATGGGTTGACTACCATCTATCCAACTGGATGTGTTTTCTGATTTCATATATCCAGAAATATTTGGTTTTTGACCTGAAATACTTGAATATTTAGATTTCTCAAAGAAATAAGTTTTCTACTCTAGGAGTTAGTCCAATTTTGACACAGTTTGTTAATAGTGGTATTAATTGTATGAACATTATAGGTTTGTATTTTTCTGTTCTGGATAATATGGTGCAAAACACTATATTACATATTGTAGCCTGCCATTGCTTCATTAGCCAGGAAGAGTGAAACATGAAGTCTGAGCTATTGCATTTCTTGTGTTTCAGTGGTCTTGATTTGAGATCACAGTTTGCTTTGTGATGTTGGTAGTTCACTGGAAAAGGCCTTTTCTGTTTCCTTAACTTGGGAGAGCATGCGACGGAAAAGTTTTCTAGAAAAAGAAACGCATGGGGGTTTCAAAGTATTTAATTCATAAATCACCTGAGTTCTTTTTGAAATGTGGTTTTTACATCCTAGAGATTACCACTTGTTTAATCCTTGTCACAACCTCTACTAAAGGAATTGACATTTGTTTCATATTTCATCACTTACATGCATCTTGACATTTGGTGCGTTTTCCTTTTTCTCTTGCCTATAGACTCTACAAATAAGCTTCTCAAGGCCAAAAGATCTACAAGTTTCGTATTTGAAGAATGGTCTATCTTGTTGCACACAAGTATAAGTGACACTTTTTTTAACTGACAAGTGCAGTGGTTGAATCTGGGTGGTTGAAAGAATGTCAGGCATGGAGGATGGAGCTGAAAAGTCGAACCCATCCACCCAACAAGAAGTTGTGTTCGAACCAAGATTTTTTGTTTTCATCTTACATTTTAGTTATATTACTGATATATTGACATAAGTTATCCTTCTTTTTGTTATAGGAGGAAGTTGTTAAAAAGAAATATGGAGGAATGATACCTAAGAAGCCACCTCTAATCTCAAAGGTAAGTCATAGTATTTGTCTGCTAGATTGTTACTGTGATTAGTGGTACAGTAAATATCAACATTTTTTTGTGAGTATTGCTTCTATCTGTGTTATAAACCATCTCTTTTGTTTTCAGGACCATGAGCGTGCTTATTTTGATTCTGCTGACTGGGCTCTTGGAAAGGTATTTTTGCTCTTTGTACTCTTTATGATTTCGCTATAGTTGAAGTTTATACAGACATTATATTAGTATGATGATCACCTAAACCTTTATGATGGTTAATGATCACAGCAAGGTGCAGATAAGAAGCCCAAAGGTCCACTGGAGGCACTTCGCCCAAAATTGCAGGTATTTTGTCGCTTATGTGTCCTCTGAATGGAACTAATCATTTGTCTAAGGCTCTCGATTTTTCTGATAGGTTAATGATTGATGAAACAATTTATTTGACATAATTTCTTCTTTGATTGACATTTAAATGTGATGTTAAAGAGATCCTATGGTCATTTGGGATCATTTGATGTTTCAGTATTTATATACCTTTTGACTTTATGGTTGCATAAGACTTTAGTTCAAGAAATTTTATTTTTGGTCTTTCTGGATTCTTTGGTTCACTTCTAATGTCTAACGTCTCTTTTGAACTTTTAATTCTAGCCAACACAACAGCAAACGCGATACCGCAAGTCTCCTTGTGCTCCATCAGAAGGTGAAGGTATGCAAGATGATTGATTTTGTTTATATACCGACTTCTTGTTCATGTAAATTAAGTTTTTGCTTTTGGGGGAAGGACCTCACAAAGCATTAACAGATGGAGATAGTTACTAAGTTGGGTTGTTCACTGTTGAGTTATAGTTCTTTTGTCCTGATAATTCTGAAAAGTTTTATGACCTTGTCTCCTGTGTCTTTCCTAGATGGAATTGCTCCGTTGGAGGATCCAACTGCAAATGAATGAGAAGGAGATGTTGACTCTTTGTCGAAATGTCATAAGCTGTTTACATATCTGCTCTTAAGAATTTAAAAAATAAAAATGATTCACGGGGTGTTTCAACTTTTAATTGAGGCTGGTATTGTGTTGCTGTAACATTGATGTAGGATATTTTTCTTATGCTGTCTAATGAAACGAGTTTCCTGTTTGGGTCTATCCATCCTTCCATGAATTTATTTTAGTACTAGCTGCTAAAATGATTATGTTACTATTATTATTTATTTACTTGTATTTGTGTTAGTATTACTTTAAGCATTAGTATTGGTGAATCCATGGTTTCAAGTTATGGTAGAATGAGATCCAAAATAAAATTAGCTATGCTTAGTGGTAACATGAAATTGGAACTTGGAAGTCTGCTGTGTTAATTCGAGTAGTAACAAACACATCTAGATTTTCTTTTGTCCATGATCTCCAGCCAGCTTGTGTGCACTTCGATTAGTTTCACAAGGTAATTTCTACCTTTTACTAGTACAAATATTGGGTAACTCTATCTACCAAGATTTGGACAGATGTGACATAATCATAGTTTTTAACCCCACATCATTGTCAATTAGGCACTCACTTGAGAGAATTTTATTGATTTCGCAAACATCCTAAGAATTTAAGGATAACACAACAAAGCATTACACTTTTGAATGATTGTAGTTGGACCAGTGGTGTTCATTGATCCTTAATAGTCACTTCAGAATGAATCACAAGTCTAGAAATGTCACCATGGGTTTGGATTTGAGATGTGATGAATGAAAACTCAACCTTTTGCTTCCATCACAAATGTTTCTTAAATATAGCTACTTCTAAATCCGTTCAACGCCAAATATGGTAAAGATTGGGTCTTTATGTCCATTTGTCTAGCAATAGAGATATATTCAACAATACTATAAGTCTCTATGTCTATTCGACGTTCTTTCCTTTTTTCAACAAAAAATAAATGATAGCGTAGAGTTGACTTAGAACAAGTCAATAACAACTGCAAGTTTCACATAGACCTAAATACACTCTTAATTCCTTGTTCTTGCAAAGTCATTTCTTCCAAATCTCGAAAAACATTTATTCCATGGCTGCCAATATCCAAAACTCTGATATAGAAATTTGCAATGTCATTTCAGAATCAAAGAGAATCGCCACTTCCCAACAACACCATTTCAGAGCTCTCTCTCTTCTCTTCTTGCTTCCTTTGTCTATTTTCACATTCCTCTTTCTAAATTTCGAAAAAACAATAATCATTTCATTCATCTTAGCCTTCTTTGTCATAATATCCGCTTTTTGTGCTGTGGCTACTATAACATACACTACTTTTCATGGATATAACGGTCAACCTATCGATCTTTCCTCGATTCTTTTCTCCATTTTCCCCTTGTTTCTTCCCTTTATTTCTACTTTCACCCTTTTACTACTCATCTTGGCTTTAATTTCCATATGCCTTGGCCTTGTGTTCCTTTTGATCTCCAAAGGAATTCTACTCATGGGGTTTGACATGAATTTAAATTCATTTTACTTTAATTCCTATGTTTCAATCATGATTGTAGTTGGAATATTTTTGGACATGAAGTGGATGTTAGCAAATGTGATTATTGTGGTAGAAGGTAAAAGATGCTATGAACCTTTACGTAGAAGTGCTTATTTGATGAAAAAATTGAAATGGGGGGCAATTTTGTCATTTCAGTTTCTCTCCGTCGCTCCGGTAGGGATGTTTTTGTGGAATTGCGGCACTTTTTGGCTGATACATACCGGTGGTTGGAGTAAATGGTTGAACATCGTTTCTTTTGCAATGGACTTAGTGATTTACTCAGCATTTTTGACATTGTTCTTACTTCCTAGTTTGGTTCGAAATGTGATTTTGTATGTGCAGTGCAAGGCCCTATGTGGGGAATTTTTGGAAGACTTACCCCCCTATGATTTAATATAGGTTCAATTTTCTTGATTTTCCAAGTTTCATTGTCTTAAGTTCACATGTAGTGAGTGTGTAAGTGTATTATAATCACTTGATGAGCTATATACGGTAAAGATCTGTATTTAAATTCTTTTGTATCCCTTCTCCCTACAAGCTCCAACCGCACCCAAAAAAAAATAAATAGCGAGTGCATTTCTTCTTTTGGTCATAATTTTCCTATTGTTATGGAATCTTCAATTGTTGGTAATATGGTTAAAAATTTATTGTAAAAGTAGTAAGATTGTTTATTTTTGTCGTATTTCAACTTGGATAATTTGTATTTATTTTTTAAAAATAAAATTAATAAATATATGTGCGAATATATTGATAATAGTACCACATGTTTTTATTTCTCTATTACTTGATTAAGAAGATGACATGTTGCAATTGGAACAAGACTGATTCTTAATAATCTAATATGCCCAAACTAATATTTGAACACAATTTTGACCAGTTATACGCGAAACATATATTTTGCTTTTCAATAAAAGATTTTTCACAAATAAGGGCATAATACATAAACTGAACGCTTAAATTTATATAAAATTAAACAAGTAAATATATGTCTTATATGAGTAAATATCTCAAAAGGTCACTCAAATATGTGAAATTATTTGAGAAAGTCACTCAACTTGATTTTATATCAATAAAGTCACTCAACTTATGGATTTTCTTTTATAAAAATCACTCAACTTAAGCTATTTTTCTAGAAAATCATTATAACCAAAAGATAAAAGGGATAAATTGCACAAAATTATCCTTCAAAGTTTAGTTTTGTAATACTTACTTCCATTATAGTTTATAATATTATGTTTATTTCTCTTATTTTATATAATTTTAAATAATTATTTTATTTTTAATAATTATTTTCTTAACCTAATTATTATTAACACAAAAATTTATGATTTAACTAAATTTTCCTTTATCATATATTATTTAATTTAAATAATTATAACATCTTTTATTCAAGTTATCAAAAAAATCTAACTTTGCAAAACAAACTCATTTTTTATTCTATATAAATATGCACGCCACACTAAATAATATCATATTAAACACTAATATCAAATATTCGATCCACAAATTAAAATGAAATTTTAATTCAAAACCATGCAAACAGAACTACTGGAGGGATATTCAAAAACTAGCTAGTATCTAATATTTAGTTGAAATAATTTTTTGAAAAACTTTTGCAAAGTGGGGAAAAAATGAATGGTTCTTTTTCTTAAAAGACATCTCAGGTTGACGAAGGAAGAAAAAGAGTGAAGAATTTGGGGGTGGGGAAAAAAGAGGGAAGAATTTGAGGGGGGGGGGGAGGGGGTATCTGAGCCTGATTCTGTCATCCATGTCCAGTTGGGGTGGGAGGAGATGATTCGGTTTTGGAGTCATCGAATTTGGATTTATTCGACTAATTTTGAAGTATTGTGTATATGCATTTTATTATCAAAATACAATATTAAGGGTATATATTGGTGGGTATAAATTATGGTAAAATATGATGAAACC